ATATATATAAAGTTAATTCAACACCCAGTCTGTTACATGCTTATAGGCAATTGTCGGGCCATTATCTAACCGATAACGATGGCTTTCGCTGCTGGGTGGTAACTTTGATGCCTACTTTTATATTCACATACGCTCTATCGGATATTGAGCACTTTAACCCATAAATACAGCAGACCATAAAACTACATTTTATCATATGAATAAAGACAAAAGGAAAAGTTTTCTTCACAAATGCGTTTTTAATAACACTTACTTTCGTTTATTAGGAAATTAAATTACGTTACTTAGCATCCTCCATAGATCAATTTTGGGGATTTTTCGAATCCAAGAAATTAATTCGTGGATTCGAAAGGATTAAAACTAAAACAAAAAGACATAATACGGCAAAATTATTTAACCAAACATGCTTGAATATATATATATATATATATATATATATATATATATATATATATATATATATATATATATATTTTTTTTTATTCTTGTAATCGAGTTTACACTATGCAAGTTGATGTGAGTTTGTGACGCTGGGTTTTACGTTCTTTGCAAACTGATTAATTTTAAACTGATTAATTTTAAATATGTTAGCTCTATGAACTGATATTAATCGCTTTCCAATAAGTAATGCGAATATATAATATCTAAATAATATATATAAAAATTGCATGTATATATATATATATACCAACATGTACAGATAATTTTAACAAACTATACTACTCTAACTTATAATTTGGCTCTGTGACTATCATGTCTCTTCAAAGGCAAAGGATATGGATGAAAACAGCTCGAAATCCATGTGCTTCAATATTGATAAAAATATATATACTCCTTCGATTATATATATATATATATATATATATATATAAGTGGGGGTTCACTAAACATAAAACTTACAATATGAACGAATTACAGCTACACTCACTCAACACAGTATAGGGAACAAAAAATATTATAACAGCCAAAATTACCTTCCCAACTTGAAAATTATTAACCGAAAGATCTTGGCTCTCTAGCTAACAATCACGGACAGTTTCTACACACTACTAATTATTACAAAATAAAAACTATATGGACACTAGAAGAAAAATGATAGAAATAAAAATGAAATATTATTTATCAGTTGCATTCAATGAAAAGTATACAAAAGAAGGATTACTATTCAATATATATATATATATATATATATATATATATATATATATATATATATATATATATTGCTTATACCTTTTATGGATACACTTATATAAATGCTCTGTATTTTAATTAAACAGTATTAATCACATTTACCGGTCTGAATTTTCGAGAAATTTCGTAGAAAATATGCATCCTCCGACAGGAATCGAACCTGTACCCTATTCGTAACCGTCATTAAGCCTGACGTGTTATGACCGTTCAGTAACACAGGACTTCCCGTTTATCAATGACGGTTCCGTACCGGAAAAGACCCAGCAACGGGCTCCTCTACTTGATTTATTTCTTACCTCCTCTACTCGCTCTTGCCGAGTTTCACAATACTGCCCTCTTGGTAACTTGAACCACTCTGTGGTAGCTATTGAGATTTCGTTCCCGTCATCCGTTAAAAAGGAACCCCCTTTTCCATAAGACCTCTTTCCGTAACCAGAATGCTGATTTGGACTCATTCCGGAGTTTTCTTCGTGACACCCCATGGGCTGATATTTTCAACAACCCAATTGAAAATTGTGTCACTGAGGTTTCTTCCAGGGTCGAAGCCGGTATGGACTCTTCCATCTCTTCTCAAAGATAGTAGCTGAAACCTCAATCCTCTCCATGGTTTATACCAGCATGCTCAGCCGTTGTAGCACATAGGAAACAATATTTCCGGCTATACCAGCGTCACATCTCTCACCACAATTGGCGCCAATTTGTTACTGCCCATATTAATTGTAAGCGAGTCTTCAAAGGAGCTAAGTCCAGTTTACCGAGAGAATGTGGCGCCGCATAGCCTCTAACAACTTTGGCTCTTGTGATTACTGGCGGCTCTTCAATAGGATATTAAATAAGTGTAAGGTTTCTATTTCACCCCACTCCAATCAATTTGAGCTGTTATTATTTTCTGCTGATAAAGCTGAAAGTTTTGTCCGTAAATTCTCCAACTCTACTCTTTACTCATCTGAAGTAAACCAGCCTAACTTCCCACTTAAAACAGAATCTCTGTTGAGTGATATGTATATTACCCCATCCATGGCTTCGGCTATCATTTCTAACCTTGAACCCCACAAAGAATGAGGATCCTATGGTATAGTCATTAAGAAGTGAGCTCCTGAACTGGCTCCTGTTCTCTCTAAACTGGAATAATAAATGCCTGCTGGAATCATCATGTGTTGTTCCAGTTTTTATTAACTCTGGTGAACCGTCCGACTCTTCCAACTATCAGTCTATTACCTCTTTTTGAGAAACTCCTAGAAGCCCTAATCAATGCTAAATTGGTTCATCATCTTTCATCGCACGGCCTTTTCTCGGACAAGCAACACGGCTTTCGTTTCTCCAGGTCAAATGCTGATGTCCTAACGATAACTGCAGAAAATGTCTATTATCCTCTAGATGAAAAGAGTGAAGCCCTGGCTGTAGCATTGGAAATCCCGACAGGGTATGATATTCAGGTCAACTCCACAAGCTGAAAAGTTACGGTGTCTCCGGACACATTTTTGTGCTGATCCAATCTTTCCTATCACATCGTGAAATGAAAGTTATCCTGAACGGCCACTCGTCTAGATCCTTTTGTACTAACGCGAATGTCCCCCAAGGCTCCATCCTACCCTGTGTTTAATTTTCATCAACAAACTTACCGATGATATCAGCTCTTAACTTGGCATCTACGCTAACAACACCATTTACTCCTGCCTCGATAGTAAAGCTGATCAGTCCGAAAATGTCAAAATGGCAGCCAATGTCGAAAACGACTTCAGGTCCGTCGTTAACTGGAGCAAAAGATGGCTTGTCAATTTTAACGCCTGCAAAAGTAAAAATTTCTCTCCATTGATCCATCTTTCCTCTCTGCTTTCCATCAACATGGCTAATGCTAACCTCCAGAAAAGTGCCCCGTTGTGCCTTCTCGGGCTAATGTTCTCAGCTGACATGAGGTGGAAAGATTATTTTGAATCCATTGCTAGGTCAGCTGTTAAGAAGGACGGTTCACGGCATCGTTCAAGACAATTTCCCTCTCCGGAATCTATCTTACATATCTCTAAGTCTACCATTCGTCCATGCTTAGAATATTGGCGCCACACGTATTCCGATGCCCCTGAATTTTATCTTGAGCTCCTTGATAAGATCCAAAGAAGAATCTGCAATATTATTGGTTCTGACCTGGTAACTCGGCTTCAGTCACTTTCCCACCGCCGTAAGGTTGCTTCTCTGTGCGTTTTTTTATAAATACTTTAATGGTAATTATTCCGATGACCTCTTCGCTAAGGTACCTAGACTCTATGAATTTAAGCGCAATACTAGACTGGCACCGAGATTTCATCAATTTACCTTCGAGTTAGCTAGATTTAGCCGTCAGTTCTATGCTAACAGTTTCTGTTCTCGTACTTCTCGCATGTGGAACTTCATTCCAGGCTCCATTCTTTCCAGCCAATTTAAAAAATTGCAAAAATTTAAATGCAATGTCAATCGCTATCTACTGTCCTACTGACTACTCTTTTCTCTCCCTGCTCAATATATATATATATATATATATATATATATATATATATATACAAGTAAAGAATTAGTGTATGCGGAATAAATTCCAGTAACCCCAAAATATTATTCTTGAAAGAGTGCTCAATTATGACTAGAGCAAATATAATTTATTCGAAAATTATAACATTTGGTCTTTGGTATTCATTTCAGTCGCTTGCATATTTTTTGTACTCGATTGAAATCTGATGGGAGAGGACAGATATATATGAACAGACAGATAGATATATAGATAGATTGGAACAGATTAAGATAGTTATGAACAGACTGAGAAAGATAGGTATACTTATATATATATATATATATATATATATATCTTAAAAAAGATAAGAACAATGACCGGAACACTATCGCGGTTTCGACCGCCAAGGTCTCGTCAAGTGTTTTGTTCAGCGAATCAATCAGAAGCAACTTGTCAGCGTTTGTTTATCTCGGCGTATATATATATATATATATATATATATATATATATATATATATGTGTGTGTGTGTGTGTGTGTGTGTGTGTGTGTGTGTGTGTGTGTGTGTGTGTCTGGATGTTGAATATATAAATATTTAAGACAATTTGGGAAACTTCTAAAAACGATTTAATTTGTACTAGAACAACGCTAATCATGTTTTAACTCCGCTAATCTATACTTTGTTCTTGAAATAAAATTCCTTCTTTCTAACGACGCCGAATCAACGGCGAAACCTGTCAACGTGAAACTTTCCGAAATTGTCTCAAATATTTCACATTCATTTATGACTGACTGCGTACGTAGCAATTTCCTGGAAAATGTCTTTGTTTTTTTTCTTCTTCTTCTTTAATCGCCTTCGATAAAAGGAAACTTTTCAATGATTCTCATCACGTAACAAATCAATTCACACAATCATCAACGACTTAAAGTTTGCATTCTAAATCAATCCCATCGTTCATATTATGGTCTTTTTTTACTACTTCCAGTATAAAAAATCACCAATTAAATATATGTCTGCCTGTGTCTGGAGATGGATACAATATCTAAAGATCCAATTATCTCTTTTTCATATTCATTATACGTGCCTAATACATAGAAAAGATGATTAAATGGTTATTTTTTGCCTCAGTCGGTTGGAATACATGGGTTCTTTATCAATGGAAATCTTTGTTTTGCTGAGGGAGAGAGGCGAATATTTTATGCAGGCTGAAATTGTAATGTCTTCGATACCCAACTTACTATTCAGTCCCATTGTAAATGATGCTTAGATTTCATTATGACTGTTTTAGGGCTTGTGCAAAAAAATCACTTATTCATGATAGAAAAGACAGGAGGAAAAGAAGAGAAAGGAAAATAAAGATATTGATAAAAGAAAGAAAGAAAGAAAGAAAGAAAGAAAGAAAGAAAGAAAGAAAGAAAGAAATGAAGGCAAGAAAAAGAAAGAAAGAAAGAAAGAAAAAAGAATTAAAGAAGAAAAGAGAAAGAAAAAGAGAACAGGAAGAGAAGAAAGAAAGAAAGAAAGAAAGAAAGAAAAAGAAAGAAAGAAAGAAAGAAAGAAAGAAAAATGAAATAAAGAATTAGAAGAGAAAGAGAATGAGAAAGAAAGAAAGAGTAGAGAGTAAGAAAGAGGGAGAAAGAAAGAGAAGAAAAAGGGTGTCTTAATTATGTCATTATTTTATTTTCGAGTTACATGTGTTATCCATTCCAGCCGTTGCTGCTGTTGAAAGTCCACAAATGATGTAGTTTAGCTATGTCAAGCAACAATCCACTGATTCACTATACCTAAGTTTTAAGATGATTTTTAAAAAAATGAAAATATTTCTTGAAGCTTTTATTTTCAAGCTAATAGATTAAATTTAATATTTGCAATAGGCAAAATACTTTGCTGCATTTAAAACTATTTCAAATTAAATGACGGGGTTTTCGTTTTGAAATTACTAAAATTGTGGATTTTAGCGCCATTTTTACCATTTTTCATTATAATGTAATTCTCTTTATTAAAAAATCTTCCAAAAATAAATTATGCTTTTTTGAAATTTTATTTGAGGAATATTAGCTGATTTAAAGTTGAATTAACCTAATTTGAAACAAATATTACTTACTTCGAGTTCAAAATATCACAAAAATGCATCTTTAACACGGCGGTAGCTGTTTATTTAAGGTGTTGACAGCTTGACGTCAAATTTTATTCTACAGTTGGCGTATCCGTAAAATGTAAATAGTGTGATATAGACTCAACACTTTCTGTTCAAATTAGAGTACCCAAACTCAAATAAAACAGCAAGAGTACTAACCCCTTACGAAAAGAAATCAGCAAGTGCATAAATGCACACTAAAACGACTATATACTTTATATAAATTGTTCCCGTTGTTTTCTATGGTTTAAATAGTGTAATATGGACTCGAAACTTTCTGCACAAATTAGAGTACCAAAACTCAACTAAATCAACAAGAATACCAACTCCCCACTAAAAGAAATCAGCAAGTGTACAAATGCACACTAAAACGACTATATACTTTATATAAATAGTTCCTGTTGTTTTCTGTACTTTAAATAGTGTAATATGGACTCAAAACCTTTTGCTCAAATTACAGTAGCCACACTAAACTAAATCAACAATATTTCCAATCCACACTAAAACGAGCATATTCTACATATAAACTCTCTCAGTTGCTTGCTGTTTTTTGTTTTGTTTTTTTGTTTTGTTTTTTTGTTGTTTTTTTTTTGTTTTGTTTTTTTTTGTTTAGATAGCATGATATAAAGTAAAAAAAACCTTTAGCGGAAGTGGAAACATTCCAAAACAAAGAATGACGCGCATAATCACCGATCACAAATGATAGAGAAAATAAAACATGACCGGTGTTAGAAATGTAATCAATCTGCCTCCATTCTTCGATAACATCCACAGTAAACCCTTGAAACTATTTGGATGCGTGAAAAGATCTAATACAGAGCTCACTAAATTGTGTCTAGAGGGTTTGGTGTCTAAAAAAAGAAGTACAGGGAAACCAAAGTACAGATGGACCGATAACGCAATTCTCTGGTCCCCGTCTAATGAGTTGCAGTCACGGAATAAGCTTTTTTAAGATCCTAAGAAATGGCTGAAAAAAAAAGTCATCTTCGTTTGCTATCTGCTGCAGGCGGAGACAATCCACTAATGACTGATTGAATATCAAACTATTTTTTCAAACATGGATTGAAAAGTCAGTCACTGCATACTAGATATAACAAACCGACATATCGTCAAAGTATCGATATTAGTTACAAATTATTTGGGAATGCACCTGATTAGAATTATGGCAATAGGAAAGCGATCGTTTTCGAAGTCATACAGTACAACTGACACGTGGAAGGGTCCAGAAAAACACTGCTGTTGTATGATTTTCAATAAAGACAATATCGAAACTTTGAATAAGATATTGTTATTGTTACTTAAAAAACAAAACCAACTTTTTGGTTAACCCAACTGTCGTAACCTAGAAAAGGTTGCTGAATGAGGAATAACCAAAACGGAGGTTGGAAATGAAATGGTAATCTTTATAACATCAACAAAATACAATACTCACCAGCGACGTGAAGTAGGTAAACCACTGCTAGTAGTGGACCACTCAGACAGCATATTACCCCCACTTACACTAGTGTCTAACGTATTTATGAGGATTGGTACATACCCATTAATGTTCATAGGTAGGGTATATAACACCAATATATTGTTCAACTGCTTTAATACTATTTGCAATTGTTGTTTAGCGGGCAAAAAGACAGAATGCATTATTGTTAGCAAATGGAACAGTCAAGCATACAGATCACGAATTTGAGATACCAAAATCAAACAACTACACCAATTTAAATACCTGGAAATTGTTTTAACTTACCAAAAGTGTGACACTGAAATCCGAAGGCACATTGGAATAACGAAAGATGTCTTTCAAATGTTATGCCAAGTATTAAGAAACAGTAAAATATCTGGAAAGTATTTTAACAAAGGACCGAAAGTGTGACACTGAAACCCGAAGGCGCATTGGAATAGCGAAAGATGCCTTCCATAAGCTAAGCAAAGTACTAAGAAACAGGAAAATGTTGTCAGAAACAACAAAATGTACTGAACATCTACATAATATCAGTCGTCCTATATGGCAGTGAATGTTGATAAATCTCAAAGATGAAGAAGAGACTTGAAGCAACGAAAATGTGATTTTACAGAAGGATGTTGAGATGGACTGAGCACGTGAGTAATGACGAAGTTTTATAAAAATGGAAACAAAAGGATACTCATATTTAACATCAGGAATAGACTGTTGAAATTACTAAGCTACATAATGAGGAAAGAGGGCTGGGAAAATTTGATACCCATGAGACAGATTGAAGGCAAGAAGGACAGCGGAAAACAATGCATAGCCTACATGGAGGGCTTGAGTAAATGGATGACGGAACAAGTTTAGAACAAGAGCTACAAAGAATAAAAAGATGTGGAGAGCCATGATCGCCGACGTAATGAATTGACAAGGCACATAGGAGAAGAAAAAGAACGAAGTTGTATAAATGGATTACAGAACACGCTTCAGTAGAGACAAAAAAAGCAAAATTTATTAAGGGATACAAAGAATAGGAAATTGTGAAGAGCCATGATCGCCGACGTCCTGTTGGTAAACGACATGAAGTGGGGAAATCTTGAGTAAATGGATGGCGTAGCATAGTTTAGGAAAGATAATAACAATACAAGATTTATAAGAGACTAGAAGCATGGCCCGGCGTTGCCCGTGCTTGATTCAAAAATCGTACGACTCATACAGCACTGCACGCACTAACGTGTTTCTTCCCGCGCATAGCGTGACCTTAAATTAATCTGCATTTAGGAAATACCCAACCGGGAAAACATTTTTAAGGGTTGACCGATTGTCGATTTGCACTCTGTTTGGGGGGGTGCTCAGAGTTGAAACTTAACATGATGACTCCCAATGGCCTCTTCATAAATCCGTACGGTTTTTGCTAAAATCCGACATGCGGTTCAGACGCAATCTGGGCGTATCGGTTTTTGGGTTTTATCGATTTTCCGCGCTGTTTAGGGGTCCGTGGTCATGAAACTTCTGGACAACACTTCTAATGGTAGACTCTAAGAGGGTGTCAAATTTGGTTGAAAATGCAATAATTCCTTCTGTAAGCAGATTTTTTCGATTATCGATTTTTTGGAACCTGAGTCCGAACTGAAAAATCGGGCTCCGTCATGTCCTTAAGGCAGCCATTTGCAAACTTGTGTTGAAAACCGCATCGAAATCGGGTGAGAAATGTAGCCTGGGCGAGGTAACAACGCCCACGACAGACACACAGACATACAACATGAGAAATATAGATAGTAGATACAAAGGACAGGAAGTTTTGGAGAGCCACAAACGGAAATGTCCTGAAGGGACACGGTTTATAGAAGAAGTATAAGAAATTAATTTTGACAATTTAACAATAATATTAGTTCCCAATCTGCCGCAAGCGGAGGCAGTGATTATTAAATGAATGAATCACACTGAATCTATGAAAAACCTACTTGTATCGTCGTCTAAAAATAATCTAAGTATTCAAAAACACTCATCGGTCGACCCTTCATGGCAACTCAGTTTTCATCTTATAATTACATTGATATAAATATTTCCACAGCACAAGCTCTCTCGCTATGGAATCACTAAGAGAGTCTTCTGAATTAACGGATACAATTATCCTCCGAGTCTTTAGCGATCAACGCAAGCGTACCCTAACGTCCGCTTCTCAGTCCAACGCTATGGACTCACTGGAAGAGTCTTCTGAATCAACGGATAGGTCCCTGAAGGTAATTATCCTCCGAGTCTTTAGCGATCAACGCAAGCGTACTTTAACGTCCGCTTCTCATTTCAACGCTATGGAATCACTGGAAGAGTCTTCTCAATTAACCACGTCGCGGTTGGTTCCTCTCCTTTTCTTCTGTGAGGTTATTGTTCAGTATTTACTGACATAGAGGAGATTAGATATTACATAGCAGTACATCTCTTTTCTTTGTTTTTAACGACATTTTCTCTTAATACTTTGCTTACTTTCTAAAAGACATGAGGACATTGTCCAACATTCACCTCCATATAGGAGATTAGATATTACATTGCAGTACTTAACTCTTTCCTTTGTTTCTAACGACATTTTCCTATCTCTTAATACTTTGCTTACTTTCTGAAAGACATGAGGGCTTTGTCCAGCATTCACTACCGTTTTAGGAGATTACACATTTACATAGCAGTTCAGCACTATTTTATTAGTTTCTAAGAATATTTTTATTTTTATCTTTTAATACTTTTCTTACTTTTTGAAAGGCATGCCTAGCATTCTCTACCATATAGGAGATTAGATATTACATAGCAGTTCAGCATTCTTTCCTTTGTAAAGCCATTTTCCTATCTATTAATACTTCACTTCCTTTCTAAATGGCATGAGGAGATTATCCAGTATTCACTGCTATATAGGAGATTAGATATTACATAGCAGTTCAGCATTCTTTCCTTTGTAACGCCATTTTCCTATCTATTAATACTTCACTTCCTTTCTAAATGGCATGAGGAGATTATCCAGTATATAGGAGATTAGATATTACATAGCATTTCCAAACTTTTTCCTTTGTTTCTAAGAGTATTTTCCTGTTT